AGCTGCGCCTTGCTTACGTGGCCTCTGAGGCCAACACTGCTGATATCTTTACCAAGGCACTTCCGCCTTGTGATCATCAGCGCTTCTGTACGATGCTAGGTCTTGTGCCTACTTGGCCTCACTTGCTCACTTCTTGACCTTGCTTGTACTGTGATCTTTCTATACCTGCACTTGCTTGTTTACCTTTATATATATGATCTTGCATGTGAATTGGCCTTGTGGCCTTGCTCTTGTGCTCGGACTGTGTGGTGACGTTGTGATCCACCCTGAGCTTGGTTTGCTTTGCTTGACTGGTCTTGTGACCTCTTGTTCTCCCCCACTTTACCTATGGGGGTGTGTCAAACTCATATGCTATAGTCTGTGTAGGCTGTAGTGGGGTAGACAATATGGGGTACAACACTTTTAGGTTTTCCTACTTGTACCCACCTGCTTGCTAGTTCATTCATTCCTTCCTCATTTCTTCACATCCAGGTATACTATGACGCACTTATCTAAGAGCGGGCGGAAAGCTTCGTTCATGGTCATTTGAAAAGTGGCGGGGGCGTTGGTCAGTCCGAAAGGCATGACGGTGTATTCGAAGGATCCGTAGCGTGTGCGGAATGCGGTCTTAGGGCAGTCGGGCGGGTTGACGCGAATCTGGTGGTAACCCCCTCGGAGGTCGATTTTCGAGAAAACCCGGGCTGTGCGCAGTTGGTCGATCAGTTCGTCGGCTCGCGGGATGGGGTAACGGGATTTGATGGTAACCCTGTTCAGTGCTCTGTAATCTATGCACATGCGAAATCCCCCGTCTTTTTTCGGTGTGAACAGTATCGGTGCTGCGAAAGGCGACGAACTAGGGCGGATGAATTCCTTCGCGAGCAGGTAATCGAGCTGCTTCCTTAGTTCGTCCAGTTCGGGCTGGGTCAGTCGGAACTGTCGCTGTACTGTTGGCTGTGCCCCCGGTTCTAACTCTATCCTGTGGTCGTGCGGTCGCTGAGGTGGCAGTCCCGTTGGTAAATCGTCCGGGAAAATGTCGCTGTACTGCTTCAACAGTGCTGCCAGGTCACTCGGTACTTCGGCCAGCAGTTTCTGTAAATCCCCTCCTTTGTCTGCTGCCTCAGCTTCCCGAATGTCGACCGCGTACACGTCAGCTCCTGCCGCTACGGCTCGTTTCATCGTGATCGCGTTGACACGCACCGACGAAGACTCAGGTGAGCCCCAGCGAGGTAAGGCGATGTTGTTACCGTTCACTCGCACGGTGCAGTCACCCGTCGCCCAGTCGATTCGCGGATTGTGTCGTCGCAACCAATCACGCCCGAGTAAAATATCGGTTCCGTCGAGGGTCGTTGCGAGCATTTCCTGGCTAAACGTGAAGTTACCCCCACATCGAATCCGAACCCGGTCTACGCGTTCCCGTATCGCCAGCGGCGTGCCGTCTACCAGTCGTGCGTCGATCTCAGGTAAACATTTGTCCAGTGGCAGTCGCAGTTTTCGTGCTGTAGCGGTGTTGATGAGGCTGTGGCTGGCTCCCCCGTCTACGAAGATTTTAACTAAGTCCGTCCCGATTTTCCCACTAAGCAGTATGGGGCTGTCTACCGTAGTCCCCTCCTTATTCGGCCGAGTGTGGTCGATTGCGTGAACCGGCACAATCACTCGGTGAGGGTCGGTTGGGTCGGGCGAGCGGCGTGACCTGTCAGTAGAGGGCCCGTCTGCTACTGACTCCCAGCGTTTCCCTGCTGCTTGGTCTGTTTCTGCTGCTCAGCTTCCCCCTTCCCCTTAGCGTTTTCCGGGCATTCGCTCTTGCGATGTCCCGGCCGATTGCACGCAAAGCAGCGCCCTTTGAACGGTGCGGCAGCGGCATTTGCGGCGACGGCATGTATCGTGGCGCCCTCGTTCGTCCCACGAGGCCGATGTCCCCAATGGCTGCTTCCGTAGGACCCCGGTCTCGGTCGGCGGAAGAAATCAAGTTTCTCCGCCATAGCGAGAATTTCTTGAAAGTCGGTGACGCCGCTTAGCTGGATTTCCTGAGCGATGTCCTGCTTCAGGCCGCCGATGTAGCGGTCGATGCGCTCGCTCTCGTGCATATATCCCACCTGCTCGCATAGCGCCAGAAATCCGCTCGTGTAGTCTTGGACGGAACCGAGTTGGCGCCAAGTGCGGAGCTTCTGTCGCGCCGCGATCGAAGCCGCGATTGGCTCGAAACGCGCGCGTAAACCTGCGCACCACGCGTCCCACGTGCGATACTGGGGCACCTCCACGAAATACGACGGCGCCCAGGGTCCGGTTTGTCCTTCTCGTGTCGGTAGAGTCGCGTAGTCCACCGGCTTCGTGACGATGACGCGCCACAAGTCCATGGCGGGTCCTCGCAGCAACGACACGGCGTAGCGAATCTTCGCCGTATCCTCCGAGACGTAGTTCGCGTCGAAGAAGACGTTCAACGTGAAGAGCCACGCCTGAACGGTAGGACCACCCCGCTGACTTGGGTCAAAGCATGGCGGACGCTGCGGCTTTAGCGGCATCGGCGACGGAAGAGTTGATTTGCCGGCCGACACTGAAATCGTGACTCGAGGTTGGGTCCTGGCCGCATTCGTCGCGTCGGGGTGTGTCGTGCCGTGGTCGTCGTCTCCGTCATGGCGGACGACGCCATCAGTTGCGGCGCTCGCGGGTTGCCCCACACTTCCGTGCTGTGATGTCTGTGGTGCGGGCTGAATCGGAGTGCCAGGTGCTTGGGATTGTGCTCGTGTGAGGTCGTTTTGCAGGGACGAGCGTTCTGCCGTCAGCGTCGCAATTTCCTCGGCGCTCTCGCGGATTTGTCGCAGCAGATCGTTCAAGTGCTCCTGCGTGAGAGTCGTGACGTCGATATGTTCAGCCATTTCGAAGGGCGCCGGCTCGTCTTAGTCTAGGCGCAGTCGTGGTTGCACGCGTTTACGAGAGAACGCGAGGACAGCGGCTCCTAGGTGCTAAGGTACGTGAGTCCCTTCGAGTGAGAAATCAAAAGTTGATTTCCTGAGGTGCGGAGATGCGCGGTCCGAAAGAAAGGGGCTCTGAATACCAAGTGTTACGGGTGCAATGAATCGAAGTAGCGAGAATTGCACTAAGGTGTCAAACGAGTACAAAATGTGAGCGAAGGCATGAGCGAACATTTATACGCGAAACATGCAAACGGTAACGCGGTGCGTGCGAGCTAGCTAGTGCTACGCTGGAGCGAAGCTTGGGCTAGTCCCGAAGCGTAGGCCGACACGGCCATGCCAGCAGTGCGAGGTTTGGTGAAAACAGTGTGCGCGAAGTCGGCGAAGCCCCGTTAGCAGTAACGGGCGAACAACGGCTGTTGCTGTACGCGATGTAGTCGGGCTCCGTAAGGAATGCCGAGAAAATTCCTTACACGGGGCCTAAAATGTTTATGGGCGAGCACCTCAAAGATAGGAGCCAGCGGGAATCGAGTAGGAGACCTCCTATGTAACGCATGGTCGCTTTACTCGCTAGCACACTTCACATATTACGAATATGTAGCATTAAATTTAGACTATTAAAATGAATGTAGCACTGGCATTTCAATTCTGATTTCCTAAAAACTGCCCCGAGGCCTCAGTGTACCCCCAAACGAATCTGAGGCCCTGGATGAGAGTATGCTGGTTTCAGGGTAGATGAATCATAAATGTAAGCTATAATTATAAACAAAAAGCAAGCATGGAAAATCACTAGACGAATAGGCTGAACCAGCGTAAAGAGATGGTAAAATCTGAGGGCTTTGGCCTAAAGCCCAGGAATTCCCAATCTTCTCCATATAGAAATACCTTGGCAAAATCCCTGCAAGAGGTCAATAGGAGAAGAGAATATCATTCCCTTGGCAAAAATCAATTTGCAAGGTAGGATTTTTTTTCAATTAAACACCGTAAATCAAAAGACAACTGACTACGCCCAGGAAGCTTGCTGCCTGGGGAAATAGAACTAAAACTTATGGAGAAAGGCATGCAAACATGGGAGGCATCAACCTCGAACACCTTGCGCATGGTGTTTACGGTTGATGCCTCCCTTGGATGGCATTCCATGTGAGAAAGTTTTAGTTTCTTTCTGCCCGTCGGTCACCTGTGGCGCTGCGACGCTTGATGAGACTGCTCGGCCTCGGTAAACGGAAGCGTTGACGGCTTGTTCGTTGGGATATACCGGAATAAATAGATAAAAGATATCTGTTAGGTTCTATAGAAAAGCATTCTGAGACCTTACTGCGCTTCCAAGATTGAATGCACCCATATTCGTTCGAGCGATGGAAGTCTTGCAAACAAAACAGGGGTCATATTTAACTAGAGGGCAAAAAGCAAAAAAACCAGGGTAAAGCAATTTGTTGTGTGTGTGCTTGTGTGTGTGTGTGTGTGTGTGTGTGTGTGTGCACATGCACGTGAGCGTGCGTGTGCGTGTGTGCGTTTTTTTTCGGAAAAAGAGAAAGAGAGAGAGACAAAGGGTTGCATTGAATCACGCACCTGTAAGTCTCTGTACATGTCAAACTGTTCCGACACGTCATGCGTGCACACGCGCGTGCGCGTGCGTGTGTGTGTGCGCGTGCGAGTGTGTGTGCGCGTGCATGTGTGCGTGTGCATGCCTGTGTGCACGCACCTGTAAATCTTTGTACGTATCAAACTGTTCCGATACGTCATGCAAACCTTTCCTCCTCCCATGCTGGCCTCCCCTCACCCCCTCACTCTGCTCCTCTTCCTCTTCCTCCTCATCCTCCTCCTCCACCTCCTCCTCCTCCACTTCCTCCTCCCCATCGTCTTCTATATCACCACCTCTGCCACTGGCACTGCCACTGTTGGTGCCAGTACCAGCACCACTGCTGCTGCTGTCTCTGCTGCTTGAGTGAGGATCAGCAACAGAGGGTGACCCTGAGGGAGTGCTTGAGGAGTCTGTCTTTTCTATCCCTTTATTACGAGTCAGTACCCATGTCTTTCCTTTTGCAACTACCTCCACATTTGGATCACTCTCCGCTTGCTCCTTCTGTCTATCCTCAATCACTCCCCTTTCCGTTACTTCAGCCTTACCAGCATGACCTGTGGCATCTGCAGCACCACCATCACCACCAGTAGCACTGCCCATTTCCTCCCCGGCAACCCCTCCCTTCTTCTGCTCCTCCCCACCCCTCTCCCCCCGCTCCCCCACCTTACCCTCTCCCGCAGTACCCTCTCCCTCTCCATCCTCATCCGCCTCCACCTCTCCCAACCAGTCACTCCAGTCCCCAGTTGCACCTCCCCCGTCCCCCAACCCGCCCTCCCCAGTACCCCCCTCTTGAACCCGGCAACTGCTGGCTTGAGGCGGAGCACAGAAGCTGTTGAGGTAGGAGCAGTGCTCTGAGGGGAAAGAGATCTCGGGAGTCAGAGGGAGGAGATGACCCTCCGTTGTCAACACATACCTGCAGAGTGGTGGGTTAGGATGGGTGTGGGGGTCGGGGACAGGGAATCAGGATGGGTGGGGATGGGTATGGGGAAAGGGTGAGTGCGATGCTGGCTTGGGGAGAGCCACAGAAGCTGTTGAGGTAGGAGCAGTGTTCTGAAGGGAAGGAGATTTCAGGAGTGAGAGGGAAGGAGATGACCCTCTGTTGTCAATACATACCTGTAAGGGGGGAGAGAGGGAAGTAAGGGTGCGGATGAATGGGGTTGGGTGGAGATGGGTATAAGGAAACGTTGAAATCTGGGTATGGCTTGGGGCGGAGAAGAGAAGCTGTTGAGATAGGAGCAGTGCTCTGAGGGAAAGGATATTTCAGGAGTCAGGATGGGTGGGAATGGGTAAGGGGGAACGGTAAGTGCAAGCCTAGGGAGGGGGGAGCACAGAAGCTGCTGAGGTAGGAGCAGTGCTGTGAGGGGAAGGAGTTTTTTTTTTAGAATTCTCAAAAATCACTTCCATGTAGGAGCAGTGCTGTGAGGGGAAGGAGTTTTTTTTTGAGAATTCTCAAAAATCACTTCCATGTAGGAGCAGTGCTGTGAGGGGAAGGAGGCCTCAGGAGTCAGAGGGAGGAGATGGGGCCTCTCATTGTGCATGACTTTATGGGACGTCTCAAGTCTCACTGACTCATGAGAGCGAAAATGGGAGGAGTGAGGATGGGTTGGGATGGGAGGCATGAGACTCACTGGTACGGGCAAGTCAAAGAGCGGATAGAGGTACTTCAGCGAGGTGGCAATTGAGGATGGTGAGAATGAGAGGGAGAGGCAGAGGAGAGTGAGGATGGGAGGAGTGAGGATGGGAGGAGTGAGGATGGGAGGAGTGAGGATGGGAAGAGTGAGGATGGGAGGAGTGAGGATGGGATGGGAAGAGTTAGACTCACTGGTACGGCCTGTTATCCACGACGTTGTCGCCTCCCAAGGCGAGTGAGAATGTTAGAATCACTAGCAAGGTAAGTTGGACAGGACTACTATGAGGCATCTCAAGAATCTATCAAGGCGCGAGACTCACTGGTATGGCCTGTTGTCCATTATGTTGTTGCCGCCCAAGGCCAAGTCGAAGAGAAGATAGAGGTACTTGAGAGAGGCAAGGGAGTCGGATGAGCGAGGAACAGAGGAGTGAGGATGGGTTGGGAGGCCCGTTGTCCACTATGTTGTCGCCTCCCAAGGCCAAGTCAGAGAGCAGATAGAGGTACTTGAGAGAGGCAGGGGGAGAGTGAGATTGCAGGAGCAAGGAAGGGAGGAGTGCGGATGGGAGGAGTGATGATGGGAGGAGTGATGATGGGAGGAGTGATGATGGGAGGAGTGATGATGGGAGGAGTGATGATGGGAGGAGTGATGATGGGAGGAGTGATGATGGGAGGAGTGATGATGGGAGGAGTGATGATGGGAGGAGTGATGATGGGAGGAGTGATGATGGGAGGAGTGATGATGGGAGGAGTGATGGTGGGAGGAGTGATGGTGGGAGGAGTGATGATGGGAGGAGTGATGATGGGAGGAGTGATGATGGGAGGAGTGATGCTGGGAGGAGTGATGATGGGAGGAGTGCGGATGGGAGGAGTGATGATGGGAGGAGTGATGATGGGAGGAGTGATGATGGGAGGAGTGATGATGGGAGGAGTGAGACTCACTGGTACGGCCCATTGTCCATGATGTTGTCGCCTCCCAAGGCCAAGTCAAAGAGCAGATAGAGGTACTTCACCTGGAAAGGGAGAGAGACAGGGGAGAAAGGATATTGGATCAGTGAGGAAAAGACAGGACTGGAAACGATTTTCTAGAGTTGAAAGAAAAAGGGCAGCGAAAACAAGGCTGGTAGTTTTGTGGCACCCCAGAAGCAGGCTGTCCAAAATTCTACAAAACGAAAGCCTGCAACAAACAAGGATTGGAAGCGACAGGTTGACTACTTTCGATTGGAAGCCAAACAGCACCCTTCCAACAGACAGCTTCTCTTTGAGAACCATGTGTGAAAAAGAAACTTCCTTGAAGTCACAAAGTTCAGGGCGAATGGAGTGAACTTGTGAGGACAGCTGACACTTTTGTTTTAGGATTGCATGATTGGCTTCGGGTCAGGCAGACAGGCTCACTGTTTCGGAGAGTAAGAAGCTCTCCATGTGGTCGGCCAGGGCATGCGTCTCAACCCAGAAGCATTCGAATTCCAGGTTTTACACCTAAGGTTTAAGATTTTGAGGCTTCAGGATTCGGGTTCTGGGTTTGGTTAAAGGAGGCTGGCTCACTGTTTCGAAGAGGAAGAAGCTCTCCATGTGGTCGTCTAGGGCATGCGTCTCCACGTCTCAGCCCAACAGGGTTCACATCACACCATCAGACTCACCATCACACCATCACACCCAGCAGAATTACCGTTTCTGAGAGGAAGAAGCTTTCCATGTGGTCGTCCAGGGCATGTGTCTCAACATCGCTGACGTGGCAGTAGCCACATCGGCAGCGCGTTAGCGCCAAGCTGGCAACCATGTCCCTCCCAACGGCCAGGTAGCTGCAAAATAGCAGTGGCGGCAGGAAAAAAGTGGCAGGAGGAATATTTTTTTTTTGAAAAACCTGTATTATTACCGTTTCTTATCATTGTTTTAAATATCATAAAAAAAGATGATCACGTCAGTTTTTTTTCCTTTAATTACATAGATTCTCAATATTATCATCCAAAGAAGCAACGTTGACAAGCAAAAAGTGGTAGAAGCGCCATGTTGTGTTCGCAACGAAGGGTGCAAGATCTCCAGCAGCAACGGAGCGTGCAGGAGCTTGCAGAACCCAACCAAAGCGCGGCACCAATAAATGACTGACAGCAAGGAGCGAGACACACACGAGTCCCCATCATACGACGGGTGCAGCAACTAGATCGATGCGCAAGAAGAGCGTATTATTGGATGCCATAACACGGGGTGATCTAAACGGAGGAAATACAAAATAAAAGCTATAAAGAAAGAAACATGTAGCAGATTGAATTGTTAGTGTGGTCATTTTTGTGCACGAGGAGATTGAGTTCATACGGAAAAACAGGAATAAGATGATGGTCTGATGAAAATGGCTTTATATTTGGGACATGGAGTCAAGGGGAAACTGGGGTACTCACACCGATTTCATACCCGGTGTGCGTGCATGTTCAAACTGCAAAAGCGCTGGAGATGGCGGCTTTTAATGATCTGGCGACAGGAAAGGCAGATAAATAAGAGCCACCATCTTCAGCGCCTTTGCCGTTTGAACACGCACCCACACTTCCGACAAAAAACTGGTAGTACCCCAGTCTCCCCTGGACTCCATGTCCCAAATTTAAAGCTTTTTCACCAGAACATCATCGCATTTCTGATTTTCCGTATGAACTCAATCTCCTCGTGCACCAAAAAGAGCCACAAAAACGATTCCATCCGCTGCATACTTCTATCCTTAAAGATTTTCTTATGTCGCTCCTCTGTGTAGATCATCCCTGTTATGTCGTACCAATAATAATCTCCGCTGACGGTCTCTTCTTGGCGCCTGCCACACTTTGTGTTTGATTTCTAAAAAGCAAACACAACACACCAAGCTGGCAGCCAAGTCCCTAAAACGGCCAGATAGCTGCAGAGAAAGACGCAAGCAGCAAGAGGCTGACAGAAAGATTCAGAAGTGTTGGGACATCTCAAAAAGAGCTAGGCTGGCAAACATATGTATGAGCATGTGCCTATAAATGCACTCACAAAGGGTCTCTTATAGCCTTACATGCTCTCTGCCAGGTCTGGCTTGAGAGGGTATGATGTCTGCCCTGGCACGCAACGTGGATGCTGTCACGTGCCTATAAACGCAGTCACGAAGGGTCTCTTGTAGCCTACGTGCTCTCTGCCAGCTCCGGCTTGAGAGGGAATGAAGTCTGCCCTGACTGCAGAACGAGCCATAGCCATATACACACACGTGAATGCTGCCACGCGCCTATAAACGCACTCAGAAGGGGTCTCTTGTGGCCTTGTACAGCCAGTACGTGTTCTCTGCCAGCTGTGACTGCAGCAAGTACGATACGAGGTCTGCCCCCGCTGCACTGTTGACTGTGCCAGCCGTTTCTATGAGAGGCACTCACAAGGAGTCCCTGGTGGCCTTGTACAGGCAGTACGTGCTCTCTGCCAGCTCTGGCCTGAGCGGGTACGAGGTCTGAGTGTGGTGGTACGAGGGTATGTTCAGCTGCCGTTCCTGCCTGACTTTGGTGTACAAGAAGGTGCATGTAATGACACTCACAAGGGGTCCCGCGTGGCCTTGTACAGCCAGTATGTGCTCTCTGCCAGCTCTGGCCGCAGAGGGTACGAGGTCTGCCCCGGCTGCACTGCTGACTGCGCTAGGTTGAATCCCTCCGGGGTGAAGCCGTAGCGCCGCCAGACGGAGAAGAAGGCGCGGTGGGAGCGAGCTGCACGGTCAACGTCTCCGATCATGACCTGGCAATGGTGAAGCAAGGGAAGAGATGGTTCGAGGTCTGCCCTGGCTGCACTGCTGCCTGAGCCAGGTTAAATCCCTCCGGGGTGAAACCGTAGTGCCACCAGACAGAGAAGAAGGCGCGGTGGGAGCGGGCTGCACAGTCAATATCGCCAATCATGACCTGATGGAGAGGCAGGGATGAAGAGGGAAGAAGAAAGGAAGAGAGGATACGAGGTCTTCCCCGGCTGCACTGCTGACTGCGCCAGGTTGAATGCTTCCGGGGTGAATCCGTAGCGCCGCCAGACCGAGAAGAAGGCGAAGTGGGAGCGAGCTGCTCGGTCTATGTCGCCAATCATGACCTGTTGTTGGTGGGGTTGGTAGGGGATGGGGAGAGTTAGAAGAAGTGTGGAAAGCATAACCTTCTCTCAGGGGTAAAGCCCGCCAGGTTGAATCACTCTGGAGTCAACCCGTAGTGCTGCCAGACTGAGAAGAAGGCGCGGTGGGAGCGAGCTGCACGGTCTAGATCTCCGATCATAATAACCTGTTGAACGAAGGGGCAGTGCAGAACGCACAAGGAAGACAGACAAGTGGAGTGGAGGCCCCTGGAGGACAGCTGTCTCGGGTTGAGTCCCTTTCAGTTGAACCCGAATCACCGCTAGACCGAGAAAAAGGCGCGGAGGGAGCGAGCTGCTCGGTCTATATTACGGATCATGACCCGATGGTGCGGGAGGGTATGGGAGAGGGAGGAGTGGCTTGAGATGCACAACCCACTCTGTCAGGGGTAAAGCCTGCCAGGTTGAATCCCTCCTGAGTGAACCCGTAGCGCCTCCAGACCAGACTGAGAAGAAGACGCCCCAGAATTCTAGACGTCAGTCAGGGACAAATCATCTTCGTAGGCCCAAAATTCGTAGGCTTTACCTCTTCCAGAAGTGCCTCCTCTCCCCCCAGCACCCGCTGCATCACCCCCAGTACTCAGGGTCATTCAGATATAACCTCTACTACCAGGTTTCCCCCGAGAGCCTGCAACCCTGTTAACCCTATAGTACCTACCTGCACCCCCTCCCAGTACCTGCACTGCACCCTCCAACCCCAAGTACCTGCAGCCCTGGCCAAAAGGCTTGGAGGGAGTTGAAGAGCGGCCAGACGACGACGGCCACGTCCATGTTGACCTCCACGTACCTGGGAGGCGGGTGGGAGAGATAGAATTAAGGGGCGTTAGGGTGAGAACCACGAGGGGGAAGGGGAGTTTTGAGTTGAAGAGCGGCCAGACGACGACTGCCACGTCCATGTTCACCTCCACGTACCTGGGAGGCGGGTGGGAGAGATAGAATTAAGGGGCGTTAGGGTGAGAACCACGAGGGGGAAGGGGAGTTTTCAGTTGAAGAGAGGCCAGACGACCACCGCCACGCCCATGTTGACCTCCACGTACCTGGGAGAGGGGGATGGGGAAAAAGCGGAGGTGTAAGGGAGCATATGGGTGGATGCGTTGAAGCCCGCAGCTTGAAGAGAGGCCAGACGACCACCGCCACGCCCATGTTGACCTCCACGTACCTGGGAGAGGGGGATGGGGAAAAAGCGGAGGTGTAAGGGAGCATATGGGTGGATGCGTTGAAGCCCGCAGCTTGAAGAGAGGCCAGACGACCACCATCACGCCCATGTTGACCTCCACGTACCTGGGAGAGGGGGATGGGGAAAAAGCGGAGGTGTAAGGGAGCATATGGGTGGATGCGTTGAAGCCCGCAGCTTGAAGAGAGGCCAGACGACCACCGCCACGCCCATGTTGACCTCCACGTACCTGGGAGAGGGGGATGGGGAAAAAGCGGAGGTGTAAGGGAGCATATGGGTGGATGCGTTGAAGCCCGCAGCTTGAAGAGAGGCCAGACGACCACCGCCACGCCCATGTTGACCTCCACGTACCTGGGAGAGGGGGATGGGGAAAAAGCGGAGGTGTAAGGGAGCATATGGGTGGATGCGTTGAAGCCCGCAGCTTGAAGAGAGGCCAGACGACCACCGCCACGCCCATGTTGACCTCCACGTACCTGGGAGAGGGGGATGGGGAAAAAGCGGAGGTGTAAGGGAGCATATGGGTGGATGCGTTGAAGCCCGCAGCTTGAAGAGAGGCCAGACGACCACCGCCACGCCCATGTTGACCTCCACGTACCTGGGAGAGGGGGATGGGGAAAAAGCGGAGGTGTAAGGGAGCATATGGGTGGATGCGTTGAAGCCCGCAGCTTGAAGAGAGGCCAGACGACCACCGCCACGCCCATGTTGACCTCCACGTACCTGGGAGAGGGGGATGGGGAAAAAGCGGAGGTGTAAGGGAGCATATGGGTGGATGCGTTGAAGCCCGCAGCTTGAAGAGAGGCCAGACGACCACCGCCACGCCCATGTTGACCTCCACGTACCTGGGAGAGGGGGATGGGGAAAAAGCGGAGGTGTAAGGGAGCATATGGGTGGATGCGTTGAAGCCCGCAGCTTGAAGAGAGGCCAGACGACCACCGCCACGCCCATGTTGACCTCCACGTACCTGGGAGAGGGGGATGGGGAAAAAGCGGAGGTGTAAGGGAGCATATGGGTGGATGCGTTGAAGCCCGCAGCTTGAAGAGAGGCCAGACGACCACCGCCACGCCCATGTTGACCTCCACGTACCTGGGAGAGGGGGATGGGGAAAAAGCGGAGGTGTAAGGGAGCATATGGGTGGATGCGTTGAAGCCCGCAGCTTGAAGAGAGGCCAGACGACCACCGCCACGCCCATGTTGACCTCCACGTACCTGGGAGAGGGGGATGGGGAAAAAGCGGAGGTGTAAGGGAGCATATGGGTGGATGCGTTGAAGCCCGCAGCTTGAAGAGAGGCCAGACGACCACCGCCACGCCCATGTTGACCTCCACGTACCTGGGAGAGGGGGATGGGGAAAAAGCGGAGGTGTAAGGGAGCATATGGGTGGATGCGTTGAAGCCCGCAGCTTGAAGAGAGGCCAGACGACCACCGCCACGCCCATGTTGACCTCCACGTACCTGGGAGAGGGGGATGGGGAAAAAGCGGAGGTGTAAGGGAGCATATGGGTGGATGCGTTGAAGCCCGCAGCTTGAAGAGAGGCCAGACGACCACCGCCACGCCCATGTTGACCTCCACGTACCTGGGAGAGGGGGATGGGGAAAAAGCGGAGGTGTAAGGGAGCATATGGGTGGATGCGTTGAAGCCCGCAGCTTGAAGAGAGGCCAGACGACCACCGCCACGCCCATGTTGACCTCCACGTACCTGGGAGAGGGGGATGGGGAAAAAGCGGAGGTGTAAGGGAGCATATGGGTGGATGCGTTGAAGCCCGCAGCTTGAAGAGAGGCCAGACGACCACCGCCACGCCCATGTTGACCTCCACGTACCTGGGAGAGGGGGATGGGGAAAAAGCGGAGGTGTAAGGGAGCATATGGGTGGATGCGTTGAAGCCCGCAGCTTGAAGAGAGGCCAGACGACCACCGCCACGCCCATGTTGACCTCCACGTACCTGGGAGAGGGGGATGGGGAAAAAGCGGAGGTGTAAGGGAGCATATGGGTGGATGCGTTGAAGCCCGCAGCTTGAAGAGAGGCCAGACGACCACCGCCACGCCCATGTTGACCTCCACGTACCTGGGAGAGGGGGATGGGGAAAAAGCGGAGGTGTAAGGGAGCATATGGGTGGATGCGTTGAAGCCCGCAGCTTGAAGAGAGGCCAGACGACCACCGCCACGCCCATGTTGACCTCCACGTACCTGGGAGAGGGGGATGGGGAAAAAGCGGAGGTGTAAGGGAGCATATGGGTGGATGCGTTGAAGCCCGCAGCTTGAAGAGAGGCCAGACGACCACCGCCACGCCCATGTTGACCTCCACGTACCTGGGAGAGGGGGATGGGGAAAAAGCGGAGGTGTAAGGGAGCATATGGGTGGATGCGTTGAAGCCCGCAGCTTGAAGAGAGGCCAGACGACCACCGCCACGCCCATGTTGACCTCCACGTACCTGGGAGAGGGGGATGGGGAAAAAGCGGAGGTGTAAGGGAGCATATGGGTGGATGCGTTGAAGCCCGCAGCTTGAAGAGAGGCCAGACGACCACCGCCACGCCCATGTTGACCTCCACGTACCTGGGAGAGGGGGATGGGGAAAAAGCGGAGGTGTAAGGGAGCATATGGGTGGATGCGTTGAAGCCCGCAGCTTGAAGAGAGGCCAGACGACCACCGCCACGCCCATGTTGACCTCCACGTACCTGGGAGAGGGGGATGGGGAAAAAGCGGAGGTGTAAGGGAGCATATGGGTGGATGCGTTGAAGCCCGCAGCTTGAAGAGAGGCCAGACGACCACCGCCACGCCCATGTTGACCTCCACGTACCTGGGAGAGGGGGATGGGGAAAAAGCGGAGGAGTAAGGGAGCATATGGGTGGATGCGTTGAAGCCCGCAGCTTGAAGAGAGGCCAGACGACCACCGCCACGCCCATGTTGACCTCCACGTACCTGGGAGAGGGGGATGGGGAAAAAGCGGAGGTGTAAGGGAGCATATGGGTGGATGCGTTGAAGCCCGCAGCTTGAAGAGAGGCCAGACGACCACCGCCACGCCCATGTTGACCTCCACGTACCTGGGAGAGGGGGATGGGGAAAAAGCGGAGGTGTAAGGGAGCATATGGGTGGATGCGTTGAAGCCCGCAGCTTGAAGAGAGGCCAGACGACCACCGCCACGCCCATGTTGACCTCCACGTACCTGGGAGAGGGGGATGGGGAAAAAGCGGAGGTGTAAGGGAGCATATGGGTGGATGCGTTGAAGCCCGCAGCTTGAAGAGAGGCCAGACGACCACCGCCACGCCCATGTTGACCTCCACGTACCTGGGAGAGGGGGATGGGGAAAAAGCGGAGGTGTAAGGGAGCATATGGGTGGATGCGTTGAAGCCCGCAGCTTGAAGAGAGGCCAGACGACCACCGCCACGCCCATGTTGACCTCCACGTACCTGGGAGAGGGGGATGGGGAAAAAGCGGAGGTGTAAGGGAGCATATGGGTGGATGCGTTGAAGCCCGCAGCTTGAAGAGAGGCCAGACGACCACCGCCACGCCCATGTTGACCTCCACGTACCTGGGAGAGGGGGATGGGGAAAAAGCGGAGGTGTAAGGGAGCATATGGGTGGATGCGTTGAAGCCCGCAGCTTGAAGAGAGGCCAGACGACCACCGCCACGCCCATGTTGACCTCCACGTACCTGGGAGAGGGGGATGGGGAAAAAGCGGAGGTGTAAGGGAGCATATGGGTGGATGCGTTGAAGCCCGCAGCTTGAAGAGAGGCCAGACGACCACCGCCACGCCCATGTTGACCTCCACGTACCTGGGAGAGGGGGATGGGGAAAAAGCGGAGGTGTAAGGGAGCATATGGGTGGATGCGTTGAAGCCCGCAGCTTGAAGAGAGGCCAGACGACCACCGCCACGCCCATGTTGACCTCCACGTACCTGGGAGAGGGGGATGGGGAAAAAGCGGAGGTGTAAGGGAGCATATGGGTGGATGCGTTGAAGCCCGCAGCTTGAAGAGAGGCCAGACGACCACCGCCACGCCCATGTTGACCTCCACGTACCTGGGAGAGGGGGATGGGGAAAAAGCGGAGGAGTAAGGGAGCATATGGGTGGATGCGTTGAAGCCCGCAGCTTGAAGAGAGGCCAGACGACCACCGCCACGCCCATGTTGACCTCCACGTACCTGGGAGAGGGGGATGGGGAAAAAGCGGAGGTGTAAGGGAGCATATGGGTGGATGCGTTGAAGCCCGCAGCTTGAAGAGAGGCCAGACGACCACCGCCACGCCCATGTTGACCTCCACGTACCTGGGAGAGGGGGATGGGGAAAAAGCGGAGGTGTAAGGGAGCATATGGGTGGATGCGTTGAAGCCCGCAGCTTGAAGAGAGGCCAGACGACCACCGCCACGCCCATGTTGACCTCCACGTACCTGGGAGAGGGGGATGGGGAAAAAGCGGAGGTGTAAGGGAGCATATGGGTGGATGCGTTGAAGCCCGCAGCTTGAAGAGAGGCCAGACGACCACCGCCACGCCCATGTTGACCTCCACGTACCTGGGAGAGGGGGATGGGGAAAAAGCGGAGGTGTAAGGGAGCATATGGGTGGATGCGTTGAAGCCCGCAGCTTGAAGAGAGGCCAGACGACCACCGCCACGCCCATGTTGACCT